AAAAAAAAAAAAAAAAAAACTTTATCAATAGTTTATTTCAGTATGATATTTTTTGAAACATTCTGGAATATTTAACTTATTTCAACCATTAAATTAGAACGCAATTGAAACGTATTTTGTAATTATATAGAATAATTATTATTCGAAATCAGTTTCACAATACAACATAGTGTTTCTCCCGACTATTAACTTTACGCCACTATATCATTGCCACAAAAATACACCAAGAGCCTGACTCGTTTATCTGCGCCAATGGGTTAAACTTCGAGTTTAAAAACACCCGAATATTTGACGGACGCGTGAATGTCACAGAATCCACTGTGTTCTCTCCTCCAAACAAATCGACCGTTCGTCACAGCTTCATACCTCTGCTTCAATTTCCGCTTGTGATTGTGAAGTCGCACCCCGCCCGTGCTCTCCATTCCTCCCATTATATTGTGTATGCTCGCTTCACCCACCACCATTTTTCCTTCCGTTTATCTGAAAGCAAAACGTGCCCCACTGTGATCGAAATGCGCAACAACGAGCTTTGAACCCTTTGACACACACAATGACATGTGGGAGACGTCACGTGTTTCCCAATCTGAAGTCGAGGCAACGATGTTTTCATCCGAGACGTTCGCAGGTTAATACAGGGTGACTAGAGAAAAGTATAGACACAGTAGCCGAAAGATGAAAAAAAGTCAAAAAATTAATAGTTTCGAAGTAAATGTAAATTTTTTTCTTCGCCTCGAGAGTTATCACACTCTGTATGTATAATAGTGGTTTCTACGTGTCCTCCAAGTTCAGCGTGTCCTTCAAAGTTTGTAGCTTCGTTGTTTGTACTTTTGAAACTATTAATCTTTCGACCCATGTTTATCAGCACTTTTTTCCACGAGTTTTCGGCGAGTCTGTCCTAGAAATTATGAACCCCTTTTTTTCTATTCACCCTGCGTAAGGATATAAAAAAATATTTTTCTACGATGCTCGATGTGGCGAAAAGTATAAATATTTAATCTTCAAAATGAAGAATATAAATATGGCTTTCTGGTCACATCGAGTTTCATTCAATTCGTGTGTCAAGGTTGAGATTCAAGAGCAGGAACGATCAAGTGGAAATTTGACCCTTCTCGTCGGTTGTTCGTTTTGCAGATGATCGTCCCATGAGAAAAATTCGTAGACGAATATCGAGATATCGAGATATGTTGGAAAGCGACTCGTAAATGGATTTATATTCGCGGTGGATCGGCGACGAGGTCACGTTCGACCAGACTTCCTCTACGAGGAAGAGGGGGAGGGAGGGGAGGAAGAAGGAAGAAACTCGAGAGGCTCGAAGGTGACCCTTGGTGTGACTCGGAGGAAGACTTCTCGAAGGAATTCTCGCGGTCTCGCGATCGAGAATAACGGAAAAGAGGCAAAGTACGGGATCATCATCGGGTTGACTATGAAACCGAGAAGGAACGACAGACGGACAAAATGCGGTGAGTTTATTTTCGGTTTCGAGACGCCGCGCCGCGCTGCGCCGGCGTGCATGTCTTTCTCACACCGATTAACAACTCGAGCGTTGCTGGTGCTTGGCTCCACCGTTTCCTGTCTGCGCGCTGCCGACAATCGACAGAAATCTCGTTTGCTGCTTTCAACAAAAGTTCGTTCGCTTCTCTCCAAAAAAAAAATTCGAATCAATCCGGTGCTTGTAGCAGGCACGATTATCAACATTAGGTATTACGTAGCGATCGGGCTTTCCTCATCGATCAGTCGAGAATTCAAGAAACAAAGGGCGAAACGAAAGGAAAGGAGAATGATGAACCGTTGGCCTCCGTTTCGAAACGAATTCCGCTCTGGTTCGTTTCGTTTCGCTTTGCCCGGCTGATCTCGACGCGTGCACAACCTCCGTGTCTCTGCAGGAGAATCCGTGCAACTTTTCACAGTTTCGAACCTAGACCCCCCTAGAGCCACTTCTCTTATTCTCGTTAAACGTTTGGTTTATATAGAATTTTAGATCGAACAACATCGATCGACATCTTGCGATAGAAATCGAATGAAATCGAATAGATCAGTCGGAACGGTTGAATCGTCGACGAACTATGGATAGTACAGCAGAACACGTGCGTGCGTGCGCGCTGCTTCTTCCATCTCGTTCTTTCTTCCTTCGTCAGTCTCGCTCTCGATACTCGATCGCGGTAGCGCTTCGATATTTTTAGCGGGCACGTAGACCCACCGCGTGGGCAGACCAGCTTCAGGGCTGATGTCCTAATGACTTCCATTTCCTCTCTTTCTCTATTTTTTTGACGATTTCCTGGCCAAATCGGCGATCGATCGCCAACGGACCAACTCGTTCTAGAGCGGTTTGTAAATAGGGACGACGTCGATTACTGAGAGACCGGAGGAGAGCGCACTTCTATCTCCTACAGATGGAGAACCGATCGATGTGCCGATCGTCGTGATCTTCCGCGATCTGTCGCTGGGCAATCTCGATGCAACGTTCGCACGAACGACGTAGCCAGGTCACAGATAATTTTTACGTCCTATTTATAGACCGGGTCTAAAATATCTTCTGTCAACGGGCAAAGTCTGAAAGAATACGAGATAAATCCGAGCGAGAGAGCAATTAGAAATAAACACGCGGAGAGCCGATCGAACACGCGATACCCTACCTTCCAGATACAATCTGTTCTCTCTTAACGTTTTTTCCTCATCTTTTCTCCTTCTATTCCCTCTTTCAACGCGAAATCTTTCTCACTCTCTCTTTCTCTCCTTGCCTTTGACCGAAATTTTTAAAAGCCAAAGAGAAAATTGCCAAAGTGACACGCTGATGCAAACTCGACGAGGGTCGACGCGCGAAGGCGCCGGTTTGGCAACGATCGCTCGAAAAATTTGCCAACTTCGATTCTCTTCTGCGACCTCGAAACGTCGACGATCGGCCAAGCATGCTCGCGCGCCTTCCTCTAGTTCCTTGTTACATCGCTTCCGAACCTTGTTACGTCTCCATCATCTAGTCCAAGTCGACGCAACAAACTATGTAGATTATAGATCTTTGCGTGCAAACGATTCGAACAATCGTCTTCGATCTTTTAGACTCTGGAAACTCTTCTGTCACGAGATATTGGTAACACAATGTAATTTGCAACATTACCTACAACCGTTACAAAAGTTATAAATTACAAGCATGAAATTCTTACTCCTGTCACGGGAGCAATATTTGTTTCATTCAGATTCATTCTCCTAAGATGAGTACTATTTCTTGAATACTGTCATGTTAGCAAAAAAAGTAACTACGTTTTTTTCTGTGCAAGGCGAATTTTTTTATTACAAACAAAAACTTTATTAATGTATACTGACCATTTTGTTCGATTACCTTTCGCCATCTTTCGGGCAACTTCACGACTCTGCGTTCAAAAAACTTCTCATCTTTTTCGATAAAAAATGTTCCAAGAACGATTTGACATCCTCGGCTCAACAAGTGAAATTTAGCAAACCAAATCCTGACACTAGTCTGAATATAGTTCCAACGGTCCCTCAGCATACAAGTCAGATAATTTCTTACGAGCGTTTCTTTTCTTTTCGAAAGTGGTACAGCAAAACATGACGAAAATGTTTCTTTTTTTCCATTTTGAAATCGACACCGAACAAACAACTGTTTGCAACGAGATCGTGCATTTTCCTTTTCTAAAATGAGCTTCAACAATCAGGTATCAAGTTATGCAAGAAATCTGCGGTCTGAAATGAAGTTAGTTACATTTTAACGTACAAACATGTGTCCACCTGTTAGAAAAAAAACGCAACTACTTTTTAGCCAACCTAATACAATGCCCCTAAAATTATTGAAAAATTTTGATACAATAACCTAAATTAAATCTAATAATGTTATAAATGACAAATTTTTAAAATTATTTATATATAATGTAATTATATAATTATAAAAATTATAATTATATATAATTTGTATCGATTCTGAAATGAGTTTTAAAGAAAAGTACTAAAAAGTGGTTTTTTTGTGTATCAAAATATTCTAGATACGTTGAATTCTACACTAAAGTCAAACTTTGCCCAAAATGAGAAAAATAGCCGAGATGTTATTAATGCGTTCACTCTCGAAGCCCCTAATAGGCTTCGCCACTGTCTCCGCGTCGTAGATCCACTTCAGTGTTCTTCAAAGAGACAAGAATATAATGAAATTCAGGAGCATTTTATAATAGATTATTCAAATAGAGCATTAATAATAGATTATTCAAATGAAGAATTATCTCTTAACATTTATGAAGAATCTTCGGGAACGAGTCTATCAGTTTATAATTATTATTTCTGATAAAAAAATTTTCATAAAAGACACTTATTTATGTAAAAAAAAAAAAAAAAATTTCGTAATATAAAAAAGACATATTAACGCAGAGAAATAATTAGAGGGAAATTATTTTTTCTTACGTGTATCCAACGCTATACGACAATTTGAACTTATCGACGATTCTCTCCACTGTTCTCCCTTCTTTCTCGAGCAATCAAAGTTTCCAAAGTTCGAAACGCACGATAAACAAGTTGAGTGCCGAGATAGTTTTCAGTGAACTATCCCGAAATGGTACACGGCGTATAGTTTGAGAAATATACAAAATATATAAATTTATGTATATATATATATATATATATCTTTTCAGCTTTTTGAAAGTACAAAACAAATGTTGATAATACGCTATATAACCAAAAAAAAAAAAGTAACTTTAGTCACGTTAAAAGCATAAATAATAAAAATAACGAAGAAGTCAAAGCATAAAGAAGAGATTTCGTCCGGCGTACGACTGAGGATCACCGTGTACCAAATTTGGTACGCGGAGTGTCAAGCAGACTCGTCGCGATCATTTTCTGGAGTTTTGAATCGGCACCGGCACGAATGCCCCTTTTTTCCCCGGCACTGTTCATCGTTGTTTGATACGAACGACAGTGGTGAAAGTAGCGCGAAAGTACTCGCTTCTTCTTAAACTGTCCCCCCGTAGAATATTTCTCGAGCCGGAGGACGTCGTTCGTCTATGACGTCATCCAATGACTTGTATGGCATCTCGTGATTCACATATTATTATTAAAATCTCCATTATTC